CAGGCATGTTGGCACTGAGAGTAGTACTCCAACTGAAGGAATCCCAGAATCCCAGAGATTCAAAAAGACCTTCCAGACCATCGAGTCCAACCTGTGACCAATCTCCACCTTGTCAGCTAGGCCAGGGGACTAAGTGCCATGTCCATTCAGTTCATGAACACCTCCAGAAATGGTGGTCAAGAACACTCCACCACCTCTCTGGGCAGTTACAATGCTTGACAGTCCTTTCCAGGAAGAAATCCCTCATGATGTCCAACTTGAACTTCCCTTAGCACAACTTGAAGCCATGTCCTCTTGCCCTGTCCTTTGTTCCTTGGGAGCAGACCCTGACCCCAGCTGGCTGCATCTCCTGTCAGGAATTTGTAAAGAGTGTAAAGGTCCCACCTGAGCCTCCGTTTTTCCAAGCTGAGCCCTCCCAGCTCCCTCAACTGCTCCTCATAGGACTGACTCTCCAGCCCCTTCCCCAGTCTGTTCTCTTCTCTGGACAAGCTCCAGCCCCTCAATGTCCTTCTCACAGTGAGGGCCCAGAACTGGACACAGCACTCAGTGAAGTGCCCTGGGAACTGTATGCAGGGCTGGAAGGGAGCAGGAAATACTTCTTAGCCCCTACAGAACAGTTTTGTGGTCAGAGGCATTAAGTGTTGGGGAGTCCTTCTCTGTGTGTCACATTGTCCTGAAGTGACATGAGCCTGGAGCAGATGTGCCTCAAATGCTCCAGAGATCCCATTCAGCTGCAGTTTGGCTGTGTCCAGAGAGGTCACCAGTAGTGGTCCTTTAGACCCTCCAACTGTGCCCCCCCTGTTTCCAGGCTCTGGAGACTGAGGAGTTGTATTCTGTCAGCTCAGGTGTCTGCACCTCCTTCCCACACAGGAAATAGCTTAGGTCCTGCTGCTCTTGTTGTCCTTCAGGGAAGGTAGGATTGGGTGCCCTGTGGGAAACCCTGCCAAGGGTTTGGCCATTTTCCAGCAGTCTGGATGGCCCAAGCAGAAATTGTGGCACAGCCACAGGCAGAAAGCAGGACATGTACCAATTGACCAGCATGGGCCTTGGGCACAGGGCTGCCCCCAAGCCTAGGAGTGATAGGAGGGGAACCTCCACTCTTATCCACTCAGTCTGCTGTTTAAGGAGGGCTGGGATGAAGGCAGAAGGCAAGACCCAGCAAACTTCTGCCAAGATCAAAGCTCAGTCTTAAAGAGAGAGTCTAAAGCCTGAGAGCAGCAGAGCCTGACTAGAAAGGCAATGCCTTAGTCAGAGTGAGTGAGCACAGCATGAGAGGGAGAAAGAGATGGTGCCGACCCTCACAGGTGGATGTCCAGGCTGAAGCCTCAGGGTTAGGAGCAGCACAGCCCCAGTCATAAGGAAGCACCTTAAAGTGAGGCCTGGAGGTCAAGGGGCTGGTATAGCTGGAGAGCTTGGACATTCCTCAACACTGGCTACATCATCTGCCCATGCTGACGTGTCATTTCCCCTGGAAACATTTTGGCCTCTAATACCACCAGTTGAAAGGAATCTGTGAGGCTGACTGGGCATGTCCTGCACAGGGAAATGAAAAGGCAGCATTGCAGGGAACGTAAGCACTGTCCCCATTTCTTTAATTGGGATGTTTTTGCATGCAAGATGAGCTTGGTAAACATGTTACATGCACAAAGGATGCCTCTGGGCCTGGGGCAGTCCAGGGCACTATAAAAGCCAGTCCAATTGAAGGCTCCTCATCCACTTCTCCTGCCTTCTCCTCCTTGGTGAACCAGGTGAGTAGCAAGAGCCTCTGCCTCACTCTTCTTTTTCTCTTGTTCTCCTCTTTTTCTTCTGACCTGAACCCAATCTTTGTTTCTCTGTAGTAGCCACTGAGAGCTTTGCTCCTTGATCCTGCTCTCATCTTCTCTTCGTCCTTGTTCTTCAGCAGGGAGAGGAGGGAGAAGGTGTTGGGCTTTCTTTGTTGGGAAACATTGGGATATGATCTGTTGAATCTCCCTTTCTCCCTATTGAGCCTGTCCCTTCTCCCCAGCCTGAGTTCTGTCTCAGCATGAGCAGGATGTGCTGCCCCCAAGCCTAGGAGTGATAGGAGGGGAACCTCCACTCTTATCCACTCAGTCTGCTGTTTAAGGAGGGCTGGGATGAAGGCAGAAGGCAAGACCCAGCAAACTTCTGCCAAGATCAAAGCTCAGTCTTAAAGAGAGAGTCTAAAGCCTGAGAGCAGCAGAGCCTGACTAGAAAGGCAATGCCTTAGTCAGAGTGAGTGAGCACAGCATGAGAGGGAGAAAGAGATGGTGCCGACCCTCACAGGTGGATGTCCAGGCTGAAGCCTCAGGGTTAGGAGCAGCACAGCCCCAGTCATAAGGAAGCACCTTAAAGTGAGGCCTGGAGGTCAAGGGGCTGGTATAGCTGGAGAGCTTGGACATTCCTCAACACTGGCTACATCATCTGCCCATGCTGACGTGTCATTTCCCCTGGAAACATTTTGGCCTCTAATACCACCAGTTGAAAGGAATCTGTGAGGCTGACTGGGCATGTCCTGCACAGGGAAATGAAAAGGCAGCATTGCAGGGAACGTAAGCACTGTCCCCATTTCTTTAATTGGGATGTTTTTGCATGCAAGATGAGCTTGGTAAACATGTTACATGCACAAAGGATGCCTCTGGGCCTGGGGCAGTCCAGGGCACTATAAAAGCCAGTCCAATTGAAGGCTCCTCATCCACTTCTCCTGCCTTCTCCTCCTTGGTGAACCAGGTGAGTAGCAAGAGCCTCTGCCTCACTCTTCTTTTTCTCTTGTTCTCCTCTTTTTCTTCTGACCTGAACCCAATCTTTGTTTCTCTGTAGTAGCCACTGAGAGCTTTGCTCCTTGATCCTGCTCTCATCTTCTCTTCGTCCTTGTTCTTCAGCAGGGAGAGGAGGGAGAAGGTGTTGGGCTTTCTTTGTTGGGAAACATTGGGATATGATCTGTTGAATCTCCCTTTCTCCCTATTGAGCCTGTCCCTTCTCCCCAGCCTGAGTTCTGTCTCAGCATGAGCAGCGTGTCAGGCTGTGCCTCACATGCTGCCTGTGCTTTCCCTCTCCTCTCTCCCAGGTGCATCTCCAACCCACAGCCATGTCCTGCTACGACCTGTGCCGTCCCTGTGGCCCAACCCCTCTGGCCAACAGCTGCAACGAGCCCTGTGTCCGACAGTGCCAGGACTCCAGGGTGGTGATCCAGCCTTCTCCTGTGGTGGTGACTCTGCCTGGTCCCATCCTCAGCTCCTTCCCCCAGAACACTGCTGTGGGATCCACCACCTCTGCTGCTGTTGGAAGCATCCTGAGTGAGGAGGGAGTGCCCATCAACTCCGGGGGCTTTGGCCTCTCTGGGCTCGGTGGTCGCTACTGTGGCAGGGGGGGGCCGGTTCAGTGAGTGCCTCGACCAGGAAACCCAAAGCCAAGTGTCAGATGGAGCTGCTGGCCAAGCATTTCCAGCTGGTTGAGCACCCTCATACCTTCCTGCAAAGGAGGGAGGGAAGCAAAGTGCTGTCTGGACACGTGGCCAACATTTTTTGTTCTTGCAAATCCTGCTGGTGATGACTTTTCTTGTATCTGTGATTTTGAATTTCACATTGACATGGTCTAATCTGTACTTTCAATAGTCACTGGAGGGGTTTTCCTCAGGAATTAAGGAAAGGTGGAGTCTTGCTTGCTGTCTTTCATTTGGAATGGTTAAAGTGGCTTCTTTTCCCTTTATAAATAGACAAATTCCTTTTGTTTTGCTGAATATTACTTGACTTTTTATCATTAAACTGATGTTGCATCTGAATTTGAGTTTCATTGTGGTTTTTACTCTTGTTTGCCTCACCTTGGGGCAGAAAGTGTCATAACATGCAAACCTATGCAGATTATCTTCCCAGTGGAAAATATGAACCCAATAGTCACCACAATCCACCTGACAAAAACTCACTATTGGTTTGTACTCTCTAGAGGAGCACCAAACGGGTTGACTTAGGTGTTTTTGTTGCTAGGATTTTTTTCCCCACATCTTGTGTGTAAAAATACAATTGTGATATTTGAACTTGTGCCTAAGAGTGTTGTTCAAATGCTCCTTGAGCTCTGACAGGCTTGGGATCATGACCTCTGCCCTGAGGAGCTGTTCCAGTGCTTAAACACCTCTGGGGGAAGAACCTTTTTCCAATATCCACTTAACCCTCTCCTGACACAGTTCCAGCTGTTTCCTCAGTCCTGTCACTGCTCACCAGAGAGCAGAGACCAGTGCCTGCCCCTCCACACTGTCCCCTTTTAGGCTGTGGCTTGAGGCAAGAAAAACAAAGCATCTAAGTTGGTAAATGAAAAGGTACTCAACTGAGTGGAGTCCCTGCTTCAAAATTAGTTTCCATGTGTGAATTTTCCAGCCAAACCATTGGAGGGACTGGAATACGCACACAGCTCTGCTGACAGGACTGGTGTGACTGAAGTAATTAGTTATTCACCCAGATCTGTGAGGAATTGCTGACTCCACTGAGAAACATCAAAGAATGGCAGGAAAGCTCCTGCCCATGATGCAAAGGGACATGGAGCACAGAGTACAGAAGTGAATTTCGGGGGAATGGAATGTCCAGTGAAGTGGAAATAAGCCCCTAAATTTATCCTTTTGCATTTAAAACAAAGCAAACTCCTGGGCCCAGCCAACTTCAGCCAGCACAGCATCGTGGAGGGTTTGTGCTGAGGCCTTTGTTAAGTGTAGGTGCTCAGTTACATCTCGTGTAGCATTTTATAGCTCTAAGGGTCTTATCAATCTCTGTAACACCTGAAATCATCAGAGAGACAGTTCCTGCAGAGTGAAGATCAGTTTGAAAGTCTTGTCCCCTTCAGATGTTGCAGTTGGAGAAATGGGTACAACGACTCTGCTTTGGGATGTTTATAAATTTAGGAGACCATTGAAGCATCATTTTATGCACTAATTACTTCCCACACCTATTTCTGCAGGTGGAACCTTTTCTTGATAAAGAAATCGTCCTGCTCTGGTTTCCCAGCTCAGCTTTAGCCTTGGCATTCCATGAGAACTGTGCTCTACTCATTCAAAATTCTTTCATCTTCCCAATTTATGGAGAGTTTTAATTTCTGGCACTTTTATACTGACTCTGTGAGTGTCAACATGAAATTACTCCAAGCACAGGCTAATAAAGCCTTTTTTTTAGCTCCTCATCTTGTGGCTGTCTCAGGATCTAAGGTCAACCTCCCCACCAGGCTCTGGTGCTCAGTGACTCAGTGATTTCAGGTGTGGATGTGCTTATTTCACAGGATCTACCCAAAAGACAGGATTCAGTCCAGATTGTTCTTCTGCTTTGCTGGAGGCAGAGCTTTGTAAATATTGGTGGAGACAGGAATTTATTAAGGATTGACACTCATGTTCTTAATAAAAGAACAAGTCTGAGCGATGAATTATGTATTATACACATTCTTAGTGTTTTTCTTTATGACTAAAGTGAAACACGCACTGGAATATCAATTTTGTTGTGACTGAAAAGTGCCACTGGAGTAAATGTGGCCCAGAATTCCTGAGATGAGAGGAACCTGTATGGCAGAATCTGTCTGGCACAAGATAAGGAAACGAAAACAAAGTAATAAGCAGTAAGGAAAAGACATTTAATCAGCTGGAAGCATTTTGCATTTGGGACATACTCGCTGGGAACTAATTCCAGGTACAAAGGATGTCTGTGTTCCTCAGGCCATCCGAGGTGCAGTATAAAAACCAACTCAGCTCAGCTCCTTCCAACCACTTCTCTTGCCTCTTTCCTCTTTTGTGAACAAGGTTAGTTCAGATCTACTTCTCTTTTTCTGTTTGCTGAGTTCTTGCCTTGTAACAACCTTCTTTTTCCTCCACAGTGTTCTGCTGCTGCTGGATTGGTTTGGGGGGAGAGTTTCCTGGTTAAATTCTTGGGGTTTGCTGTCAGAATTGCAGCAGTTCTAGAGTTCTCATCCTTAAAGTGGGGATAGAAATTCAGTCCAGTGTGGGATTTCTGCCATGTTAAGTGACTTAGCAAATGCTACTAATGATCAAGATTAACAAACTGAATGGGTAGAACAACTGCAATGGGTTGGAACTGTGTGATCTTTGAAGGTCCTTGTCAACTCTAGTCTATGAAAACAGAAGGTTTAGGTGCTCAGTTATATTTCAAGTAGCATTTTATGTTTTTGAAGCTCTTATCCATCCTCTGTAATGCCTGAAATATCATCTGGGTTGCCAAGAGTTGGAATGATGTTCCAGGGAGCAATGACATTGCCTGCTATGCAGAGAAATGGGTTCAGGGCCTGTGAGATAAAGGCAGAGCCAAACTGGAGGAGAGCAGAGCACTCACCAGTCTGTGATGGGTGTGGGAATCACTGAGCTTTGGTTGTGTTGGCGTGGTGTAACCAGACCCAGGGAGCAGGAGGGAACTTAGGGCTCTCTCACAGGTGGCACATCTGTGGACAAGTTGGCCTGGAAAGATTTCAAAAGACCTCTGCAAGTAATCTTAATTAGACTGAAATTTGTACCTCTTGGTAGGCAAAGTTAGAGCCATGGAAATAATTCTCCATTTGAATTTCCAGCTGCCTATTGAACAATATCCATAGGTATATTTGTGGCTAGGTATCTCTCCTAGTTACTACTCTGCAATGCTCTGCATACATCCAGTTGGACCTCAGAAGTGTCTCCCCAGTCACACAGACAATCAAAATGCTAAAATTGAAGTGGTGCTACAGGTGTGTTTCCTTTTGTTCTGCTGCCAGCACTGCCACAGCATCACCAGCAGCTCAGAGGGAACATTTCAGCCTCTGTCTTCTGGTAACCTGTTTAAGAATTTAGTTTCCTTCTCAACTCAGTTCCTAGAAGGATCCTTGGAAAGCTGCTGTTGTCCTGATAACTGAGTCAATGTGAGTGTAAAGCGACTCCTACATTGCATTCACTTCTCCTCCTGTGTTTCAGCCTTGCCTCCAGCCACAGCCATGTCCTGCTACGAGCGATGTCCTTCCACCTGTGGCCCAACCCCTCTGGCCAACAGCTGCAACGAGCCCTGTGTCCGGCAGTGCCAGGACTCCACGGTGGTCATCCAACCCTCGCCCGTGGTGGTGACCCTGCCTGGCCCCATCCTCAGCTCCTTCCCCCAAAACACCACCGTGGGATCCTCAGCCTCTGCAGCTGTAGGAGATGTTCTCATTGGGAGTGCTCTGTGTGCTGAGGGAGTGCCCATCAACTCTGGCAACTCCTTGGGCTTGGGGAGCCTTGGCTA